GTCTAATGGAAAATATTTGGTAAATAGTTGGTCACTTGTTGGTTTTTCAAATTGATTATTTGAAACATGTTGTAATAACATAACATGTTTACAACTTCAGTAGACTTGCTACAAGTCAACTAGCTTGCATATTTGGATGTGTTGTTTTAAAAAATGCAAATTTATATTTGAAAATGTGTGAGTGGAATGGTGATAGTTTTGGTTTATACATTGCTCATTTTCCATGTAGCCAACCAGTAGGGCTTTGGGGGTGCAGTCATCAGAGCAAGCACCTTTCACCTCTGAGATTGAGTGAGGGTTTGATTTTTGCTGCAGACTCATGTGAAAAGAGTCTGTCAATGCTCTGCTGAAAGTCCTGGATTTTCCTCTCGGTGCCCTGGTTATCTCCCACAGGGAAAGTTGATAGGATGGGTTAGGATAAACATAATTAGGAATCAAAGTAAATATTACAATTGTTGTAAGGATAAATTGTCTACATGGCAAGAAACGCCGAGCCTGCTGCTCAACGGGATTGAACAATGTTTTGCTGCCCACGTTGTTCACACTTGTCAACGATATTGAACAATATTGTTGAGCCTGAATCGGGTGTAACAATATTGTTCAATATTATTGACAACTGTGAACAATGTGGGCTGCAAAGCATTGTTCAATCCTGTTTTCATCAGTATTACAACAACCAGATCATTTTTTGCCATGTAGGCTAAGTAGGTAATATATGCAAGCTTAACACTTGATGTAATTGGTCCCTGGAAAATTAAGCCCCTATGGATACTGAGCCGAATAATGTGTGTATGAATCGTCCAAAAACTGACATCTTTTATTGATGTTTTATGCAAACATTATTTGTGTTCTACAATTAGTTCATTAAGCCTCAATGCTACGGGTGCACTGGATATAGTATCCGGCGGGATAGTGACAAAATTGTACTATCCGGTATCCGGCCGGATATTTACTATTATCTGGTGCAAACTGTGATGGATGCTGAAGTCCCCCCCCCCCCCCAGTTTAAATTCACAATATTTTGTTAAGCATAATATTGGTAAATTTTGTTCACTTTGCAATCAAGAATCTTTATATTACTGTCTTGCTCTGATCGGGTTTTTTTCGGGGGGAGGGGGGGGGGGGGCTTAGCCCTTGTTTACCTCTGGTGGGGGCTATAGCCACTAGTCACCCTATTCCTCTGCCCCTGTTATCCAGTATTGCCGTTATTGGTAACCTTTCTCTTAACAGCAAAGTGGACCAATATGGATTTGAAAGAGAAGATGATTTTGACTATGAAACATACGAGAAATTTATGTCTGAGTATTTAGTTGTTTTGACAAGACGTGCTGTCAAGTGGGATAAAGTTGTTGATCCACAACACAGAACGAGAAAATCTATCAAAGGTATTCGCATCTTGCTTATTAATTCCATTAATGTTGGTCATTGCGTAGGAGATGCAGTTAGCATCACGGTTAGGTGTTGCATATAAGCGTACGAGACAGGGGGTCAGATGTAGGCAATACATTTAAAAGCAAGAAATATGTAAGATAATAATAATAGTCCAAAATGCAAGAAATAGTTAAGATATTAGTCAAAAACGCAAGAAATATGCAAGGTTTGCCAAAATTTTAACTCTTTGGAAAATTTTACCAAACCCTATTAAACCCCCTCGACATGAATTCTGGTAATTGGTAATTAAGTAAAGTACGCTACTGAAGGTCAATCCCTCAGTGGTGGAGTATTGTACTTCCACTACCGCTAAAACTAATGGACTATTAACCAATCAGATGCGTTTGATATATCTGATTAACCAATCAGATACGTTTGATATAATATCCGATTAACCAATCAGATGCGCACTAAGCAAGTAAGAGGTAGTGGTTGCAGTAGTGGAAGTCTATTTTATAGATGAATGACTACCCTACTCTGACTTGATGTGCTTCTTATGTAAGAAACAGTTTTATAAAATAATATGTATATAACGCGTGCTCTGATTGGTCGAAACCCGTGTTTGGATCAGGCCATGCATCCAAACACGGAAATTTAAAGTAAAAGTTTTTTAAAGTGAAATTTTAACACGGGAAGTGGTTATTTTATAAAACAATTACTTTATGGTTTCCGTGTTTGGATGGCCTGATCCAAACACTTGGGAATGTTGCTCGAGTTAAGAAAAGCGCGCTTTTCTTAACTCTCGCAACATTCCGCATGTTTGGATCAGGCCATCCAAACACGGAAACCATAAAGTAATTGAAAAATGGCAGACAGAGGCATCCTAATAAACTTTTTTAGATCGAACTTATCATATTGTGAATTACCCCTGATTGAAAATTACATCCCACAAATTCAAAGTCACAATGGAAGTCAAAATGATGGAAATCCTAAACCGATATCACCTCTGTTTAATCCAAGTTCGCAACAACAGCATCTATGAAACCAGCAAAATGGAAATTTTTTTCGAAAACGTCCCTGTGTCATACCTCCTCGAGCACTAAACAACGGGATTTGTATCCACGACATCCCAACACGCCCGAGGCACCAATACCCCCTGGTATCGGTATTCTGTACAACACGAGAGCCCAGATTGGACGAAATATTTAGAAATGGTACGCCTTATTACCAGTCCTCAATAAGCAATCCTCATGTACCAAACCCAGATAAAACCTGTACGTCAATACCGCCACCGAACAATAATGCCATCCCAGTCAGAATCACCCAAAGGACAACAGACAGTGGCGCAAGACGAACTTCTAATCCGAATAATCTAATTTACCCACAATCTGACCTTGTACCGGTTAATCCTACTCACCAATTATGCCATTTTGTTCCATCAATTATACTGGCAAATATAATGTCCCTATCGCCCAAAATAGACGAAATTTGTCTCTACGTACAAGACCACGACCCCGATATTATGTGCCTTACTGAAACATGGCTGAAAGATACTGTTGAAAGCAGTGTAATCCATATTACGAACTATACCCTTGTCAGGAAAGACGGGATTTATGCACAACATGGGGGAGTATGCCTGTATATTAAAGAATCTATACCGTTTACAGTTCTTCGGGAATACAAAAGAGATATATCAATCGAGGTTCTATGGTGCAAGTTATGTCCCAGACGACTACCCCGCGGTTTTTCTTATTTAGTAGTGGGAATAGTATACCATCCACCGACAGCTGACGACGAACAAATGATCAATTATCTAATTAATACTTTGTCTGAAATCGAAAGCTCTATGCCTAATGCTGCCATCATCCTTGCTGGAGATTTTAATCGCCTCAATACTGCCCAGATAACTATTCAATTTCATTTAAAGCAGCTAGTAAAGTTCCCAACTCGAGGAGAAAGAACATTAGATTTAATACTGACCAACCTCAACAAATTTTCCTGGAAACCGTAAGAAGTCATACAATGCAAAAAGAGCAGTTACAGTTAGAGACATGAGAACGAGCTCTAGACAGGCCCTCGGAAGATTTCTAAGTAATATAGATTGGTTAGTTCTTGAGAATGTCGAAGATATAAACGAAAAATATGTTTTCTTTAACAACATCATTATAATGTGTATGGATATTATTATGCCAGCAAAGATGTAATATCCATATAAATGATGTTCCATGGATGACTGGTCATCTGAAGCACCTAATAAAGTGTCGCCAGAAAGCTTTAAAAGATAACTGTCCTACACAGTTTAAATTTTATCGTAACCAAGTTAATAGAGAGAGGAAACGTGTTAAAGCTAAATACTAGTATGAATCAAAAGTAAAATACCTTAAAAATATAGAGCCAAAGAAATGGTGGTCCGAGTGTAAAAAGTTATGTGGAATGTCAAAGCCAAACATTAATGTTGCCTCCATACTTTTAGACGAATCACAGACAATCGAGGATAAAGTAAACCTGGCCAATGAGATCAATTTAGCTTTCCTAGAACCCCACAAAAGTTCAGTTAAGCTTTCCCCTTCTTGCAAGATTAACACTTCCGGTTATCCAATTCCATCCAAGATCACAGAAATGATGGCCAAACAACTGAGCTCGATTAGTGTACATAAAGCAGCCGGTCCAGACAACATACCAAATTGGGTTTTAAAAGATTTTGCTCACATTTTGGCCCTATCTGTTTTTATGTTAATCAACGTGTCTTTCAAGAAGGAACAGTTACCACTTATATGGAAATGCGCAAAAATTACACCTTTGCCAAAAAGTTCGACAGTAAACGATATTAACACTGACGTTAGACCTATCTCTTTAACCCCAACTATATCGAAAATTGCTGAAGAGTACGTAGTGGTAAACCATGTTAAACCCGCCGTTATCAAGCACATCCGACCAGACCAGTACAGTTGTATCCCACAATCTTCAGCAACCCACGCTTTAATCAACCTTATTCACCATGGTACCCGGACATTTTGCCGAAAGACATTTTGCCGAAAGACACTTTGCCGAAAGACATTTTGCCGAACGGACATTTTGCCGACGGTCATTTTGCCGAACGGACGTTTTGCCGAACGGACATTTTTCCAAACGGACATTTTGCCGAACGGACAGTTTGCCGAAAGGACAACTTGCCGAAAATAAAGATGTTATTTCGTCAAAATGTTTGCGACTGTGACTCAATTCTCAACTGTCTAATTCTCAACCATTGTGTAAAATAACCATTATATGGTCATTAGCAGTGCATAATGGTCATTAGCAGTGTATAATGGTCGTTAGCAGTGCATAACCATATTGACTATTGGTAGTTGTTTGTGCAGCGGATGACTCATTTGTTATAGGAACGTGTTTTGACGTCAGATCGTAAACAAACAAGCGTATATAAAGACGACGTAAGCGAATTTCATTTCGAGAATCATTGAATACATTCACAGTTCTCGGGGAAATCGCATCCATGAATGATGTTGAATGATGTTATTCTTTATATCGCGAATTTTCGGTAAACTTGTCAAAAACTTGAAAGAATATAAAACGAAACTATAGTTCACTATCAAAGTTTCTGTCAACAAAATCAACAATTAATGACTTTAATCACAGAAACTTTGACCGTGTAAGCGAACATTTAAAGTTCAGAAGATATTTCTATTTTCGGCAAAATGTCCGTTCGTCAAATTGTCCGTTCGGCAAAATGTCCATTCGGCAAAATGTCCGTTCGGCAAAACGTCCGTTCGGCAAAACGTCCGTCGGCAAAATGTCCGTTCGGCAAAATGTCTTTCGGCAAAATGTCTTTCGGCAAAGTGTCTTTCGGCAAAATGTCCGACCACACATTGGTCAAAAGCCACCGACGGCACGAGCTCAGATGTGCGAGTGCTGATTATGGACTATAGGAAAGCTTTCGATCTGATCGATCATTCTCTGCTCATCACGAAATTAAAAGGTTACGGTATCAACCCCTATATCATCAAATGGATATGCGATTTCCTGATGGATAGACAACAGGGTAAAAATGGCAAATGATATATACTCAGAATGGAAAGATGTAGTGGCCGGCGTTCCGCAGGGCACTAAATTAGGGCCATGGCTATTTTTAATAATGATCAATGACTTAGAAATATCCAGCGCTGATGGAAACGTAATATTTGTTGACGATACAACCTCGTTCGAAATTGTGGAAAAAGATAAATCAAGTTCAATGCAACTAACGGCCGATGAGGCATCCGCTTGGTCTAACGACAATATGTTCCAAATCCAACCAAAAAAATGTAAGGAATTGAGAATATCTTTAAAAAAACAACTCTGGAACATATGAAAATATTACCATTAATGGAAACACAATAGACGTTGTTAGATCTGTCAAAATTCTAGGAGTTACATTGCAGAGTAACTTAAAGTGGAATGAGCACATCAACAACATCGTCAAAAAGGCGTCCAAAAGACTCTATTTTCTGTCACAACTGAAAAGGGCAAAAGTACCATCTAACGACTTAGTTCACTTTTACGTGACATGTATCCGTTCACTGTTACTATATTCTTGCCAAGTTTTCCACTTTAACCTCTCCGAGTTTTTAAACATTATGCTGGAACGAATTCAGAAACGAGCGCTGAATATCATATATGGTTACGATGTACCGTATTCTGAAGTGTTGGTAATGTCGAAACTGCATAAACTCTCCGATCATCGTAGTCATCTTTGTGATGAATTTTTCAACAAAATTGTAATGAACCCAAATGATAAACTTCATGGGCTTCTGCCTTATAACCTGAGCGTAATTTCTTCGTTAGGGGACCAGTCATTATTAATGCCGGGTAGGGGGCCGGAGGAAATTTAGAGGGCCACAAAAAATTTTTGACCAGTGAAGGGGGGGGGGGGCAGAAAATATTTTGAACATAAAGGGGGCGGGGGCAAAAAATAAAATCTATGGAATAGTTTGTAACATGTAATATCAAAAGAGTAATGGATATATACAGTATACATACATTGAACAGTAATGCCCAATATATTGAACCTAAAAGTTGTGTTCTAGCTACTGTATATGGAAATTGTCATCCTCATCATCACCGTAGAATTTGTCAAGGTTCATGCACTGCATTTGCAAATGCAAGATTCAATTGACAGTTGTTGTCCTGTTTTACGCTTTTTAACACAGTGGACCTCTTTGGCATGTTCTGTTTCTGCATGTTGTTGACAGTCTCTTCTGCCATCTCTTCAATATAATGCTTCCGCCAGACACAAATGCATTTTTTTCAATTAATAAAAGTAGGCCTGATGTGTGGGTTTTTTGTTTGAGGGTCAACAACTTGTCAGGTATAAAGTCTGAATTGTCTATTGTGAATTGTGAAACTAAAGTGCTGTCACTCCTGTCCACCTTGGGTATCATTTTCAACATTTACAATATTCTTTACAGCTGCAAGAAACAGTGACTTAGATTCATTGAATTCAGAATTGGTGGGAAGGGGG